TCGTCAGCTTGCGTCCCACCCTGTTCTTGTCTCAGGCAGTTACTTTGGAATGTGTTTTCCCTCATCAGGGATAGAAAGATTTGTCCTGAAAATCGTCACTCGCCTCTGCCTCTGTTCACTTCCACCTGCGTTTCTCGGGCCGGGCTGTCTGCCAGGGAAGAGCTTCCTTAGGGCTTTTCCTCTTTATGGGCTCTCCCAGCTCTCCACTCCGTCCCCACTGATGGACGTGACCCACTGCGGGCAGTTTTGGTGGGAGGGGAGCAACTCGGGGAATGGAGATAGGAACCCTCAAAGGCTGGGCCACTGTTGCAGAAGTCAGGCATTCCATTAGAGGGTGTTTCCTTTGCCCCCGCCCTGGCTGCACATACCGGCGTTTACTGTGGTTAGCAGGGCACTCTGTGATGGAGGGGTCTGTAAGGATTTCCTACGGAGGGAGATGCCAGTGACAGAGCAAAGGCTCAGGGTGTAGACTCTGGGTGGTGACACTGATGTTCAAGAAACGTCGAGACTGGGTGACCTCATGGGAGATCTAAGTCCCCGCCACACAGAGGGGCAAATTAAGACCCAGAGAGGGGAAGTGACTGTCCCAGATCCCCCAGCAGATGCCTCACTGTGTGTTTGGGTGCTATGGGGGACACAGGCGTATAAGAGGAGGACCTGCCTTCAAAGCTTGCTGCTCAACCGGGCAGGTAAGACGTGCCTCTTAGCATCATCTCTGTATGTACGTCCGTGATTTTCATGCACATCGTCTTCCTCTCCAACCTCTTCCAAAAAAGAGGCTTGTAGAAAACGCCGATTCTGAATTGGTGCAAATCCCTTCTGCAAAAGGCATCCCAAATCCAGTTGCTGCTACTGTCCTATTGATGGACCTCATCCGGTGGCCTTGGAGAGGCAGTGGGCAGCCCGACCACAGCCTGTAACAAGGAAAGAAAACCCAGCATCCACCCTGCAGTGAAAAATAGAAGAAAAAGCCGCAGGTGCCTACAGGATCAAAGCACCGAAGCAATAGTGTCTCTGGGTTAAACAGCTCATCGGAGCCGGCTAGGGCAGGTGGTGGGTGCCATGGACTTTCCGGAAGGGAGGACTGGGCTGTGGAGGAATCTGCAGGTGGAAGGAGGACTTCTGAGCCTTATAAGACACTCTCCTGTGGCCCTCTTGGGTGGGGAGGGGAGTCTTTCCTCTATCCTCCTTCTCCACCACCCTCACCCCCGAAGCCCGAGAGACGGAGTGGGTGGGGCAGGTGAGGAGGAAAGAACGCTGTGCAGGAAAGATCCGGTAGGAGACACTGGATCCCTGTGCTTCGGCAACGCTGAATTACTTTGTAGGTCTCAGTCTTTCTTTCCGTAAAATGAGGAGGTTGATACGTGGCCTTGAACTGTCTTCCCCCTTTCTTAAACTGCATTTCTTTGAAAGGAGGCAGAGAGACTCTGTGGCTTGGACTCCCTGTCCAGTGACTTCTAGGCCATGCCGAGTGACTGCCATAACGGTCCCGGAACCATCTTCAAACTCAGTCAGTGAACCCCAGAGGCAGCAGCAGGACGGCAGGCAGGAGAACGATATTGTTTGTCCCCTTACCCCGCCTGCCCCCACTTGCTGGTAGAGAAACTGGCCTCAGCCTTACGGTAACATTTTTGGGATGGATTATTATTGGGATCTTTACCTAATTTTTACTGGGTTTTGGGATGATGATGTTCATGTTTGGGTCTTTAATTTTTTTTTTAACGTTTATTTATTTTTGAGACAGAGAGAGACAGAGCATGAACGGGGGAGGGTCAGAGAGAGGGAGACACAGCTGAAACAGGTTCCAGGCTCTGAACTGTCAGCACAGAGCCCGACGCGGGGCTCGAACTCACGGACCGTGAGATCATGACCTGAGCCAAGTCGGCCGCTTAACCGACTGAGCCACCCAGGTGCCCCTATGTTTGGGTCTTTAAATACATATGCAGCTCTGGTAGAAGCCTCTGGTGCCATGAAGTGCTCTGGGGAGTTTTGCAGGTAGGTATCTCGGTCAAGAAGGCCCCCAGGGTCCATCACGCGCTCTGAGAACCACACCTTGACTGCTCCTTGTGAAAGCGTGTGAGTGAGCGTGTGCGTGTGAGCGTGTGTGCCCTGAGTCAGCCTGGGTCCCGGGCCTTTTGTCTCTTCTCCTGAATGAGCCAGGGGCGGACGTAAGTGTATAATTAGAGGAAGGAATGTGTCGGTCAGGAAATAACCGTTTTATTAGTGAGAAGCCGTTGAAAACCCATCGTGTTGCGGGTGAGCGCAGGGGCCCGGAGGCAGGTGAGGAATCTCAGAACGGGCTGGGGAGAAAACCAGCCCGTTGTTAAAGACGGAAACTCCCATGTTTGATATAAACCTGAGACTCCCACACAGAACCCAGTGCCTGGGGCCACCCGGAAAGAGCATACGGGTGTGCACAGCACGCGTACAGCTCCACACGGGCACTGCACGGACGTGTGAAGGCATGCCTGCACACACGTGTACGCCAACCATCCTCACAGATACATTCAGTGTGTAGGGCAGAGCCCCGGTGTTACAGGTTGGACTGTGTCCCCTGCAAAGATATGCTCAAGTCCCAACCGCTGGTGCCGGTGAATGGGGCCTTATTTGGAAGTAGGGTCTGTTCCCTGCAGTGTAAACAGGCTGAGATGAGGTTAGACTGGAGTTGGGGGGGTGGGGATCCGATGTGGTTGCTGTGCTTATATGAAGAGGGAAATATGGGCACAGACAGAGGCACAGAGGGAAGACGGCCGTGCGGGGAATGGAAGCAGAGATTGGAGGGACACCATCAGCCATAAAACGCCTGGGGCTCCCAGAAGCTGGAAGAGGCAAGGAAGGATCCTGCCTGAGAGACATTGGCCTTCGCCGGCTCTTCTGTTCCCTCCCGCAGCCCGGGCCTCCTGCCTGCTGAGCTCGCTCTCCTGCTCTCCCGGTGGCTTCAGCCCACCATCAGCTGTCACATCAGCAGCCACGGCTTCAGCCCACCATCAGCTGTCACATCAGCAGCCACCGTTTACTGTGCGCTGTCCCCAGGCTCTGTTCTAAATGCTTGAGGCCACTCTGAATCTTTACAACAACTCTGACGTAAAGGCTCCCTGTCCTTGGTTAGACCTGCAGCGTGCTGTTTGATGATGGAACAGCAGGATGGGGGCAGCGTGGGCTCAGGGCTTTCCTCCTCCTCCCCTCGCTTGTTCTGATCGAGAAATAGTTTATTCATCGAGGAATATACCGTACCGTGTATACGCGCACATGTGATGTGTGCAGTTTGATTTGCAGTGACAAATAAATCCAGTCACGGAACCACTGCTGCCATTAAGCAATGACCCTTTCCATCACGGCGGAAAGTTCCCTTGTTCCCCTTCCTCGTCAGGCTTCCATCTCCACCCCTGGAAATCCTGGACCCCATTTCTGGCGCCGCAGAGTCACGTCGCTTGTTCTCGAACTTCATATGCATAGACATACATAAAATGTCCTTTCTGGTGTATCTGGTTCCTTTTACTCAGCCTATCACTTCTGAGATTGATGCGGGTAGCAATATAGGCCCCCATAGTTCACTCTTTTCTTCACTGCTAAGTAGTATTCTATTGTATGGATGTACCACAATATGTTTATCCATTCACCTGTTGATAGACAGTTAGGTTGTTTCCAGTCGTGGGCTATTGCAAATAAAATTGCTGTGAACATTTGTATACGAATCTTTGTGTGGACACGTGTTTTCTTTCTTTCTTTTTTTTTTTTTAACGTTTTTTTTTTTTTAATTTATTTTTGGGACAGAGAGAGACAGAGCATGAACGGGGGAGGGGCAGAGAGAGAGGGAGACACAGAATCGGAAACAGGCTCCAGGCTCCGAGCCATCAGCCCAGAGCCGGATGCGGGGCTCGAACTCACGGACCGCGAGATCGTGACCTGGCTGAAGTCGGACGCTTAACCGACTGCGCCACCCAGGCGCCCCTTTCCTTTCTTTTTAAGACAGTTATTTTGAATTCTTTGTCAGGCAGCTCGTAGATGTCCATTTCTTTAGGGTCAATTACTACGGCTTTACTTTGTTCCTTTGATGGTGTCATGCTTCCCCCATCCTTCGTGACGCTTGCAGCCTTGCTTTGGTGTCTGCACATTTGAAAATGCAGGCACCTCCTCCAGTTTCTACAGATTGCCTTCACTGGTCCTCTGGGAGGACGGCAGGTGGTGAAGGGTGGCTACTCGTAAGGTCCTGGTGGCAAGGCAGGACACTCACTGGAGGAAGTGAGCACCACATTTATGTCCTCCGATCATAGTTGTAAGTTCCTGTAGCGCTCCCTTAATAGAAGATGGGTCTGAGTAAATGCCAGTGTAAAGCCAGCAAGCGGCAGAGAGTGGCTCCAGTCCCTGAACCTCTCTATCTGGGTAACCAACTGTGGCAACACATCTATGCTTGGAAAGACAAAGGGACAGAGGTGACCAGAGAGAGCAGGCAATAAGGATTCCAGTCCTGCCACCTCTCTCGCCCTGCATGGGATCCTTGACCACCCCCTCGTACCCCAGAACACAAGGATGGGCACACACTGCGTGGCTTCTTTTCCCCCCGCCCACTCCCACCCCAAGCACAAGTGGCAAATAAGATTACAGAGCCGTGGAAGGCAGCATTTGGAAATTTAAAAGATAAGCGTGCACGGGGTAATTGAATAGCATTCTGCTGAAAAACGAGCTCTCAGAGCTCATAATCAAGCCTATGCTTTACCAGAGGGGCTCTCCCCTGCCTCCCGTTGCAAACCCAGCAGGGTTAACCCTTTGGGAGGGCTCTGCCAGGGGAAGGCAGGTTTGGTCTTTATTTGAGGACTCACTGAACTGAGATGGGACTAGCCACCCGCATGGCAGGTAGAAAGCTCCTTGTCCCTGGCAGTGTTCAGGCAGGGGATGGCAGGGTGGGGGGTGGGGTGGGGTGGTGAAGGCTCAGGTTGTTAAGGGGCTTATCAGCACTGAGATTCTGATTCTCCCATTCTGATTTTTCAGACTCAACCATCCGGTATCTATCCAGAGCATACTATATGGTCAGCAGCAGGCTCGGGTCTGTGGGATAAAAATGCGATAGACAGTAGTTTATACAGTGCTCAGTCTGCCCCAAGCACTGGTCTAAGTGCCTTCCATGCAGGAACTGATCTGATCCTAGTAGCAGCCATGGGAGGTAAGTGCCAGTGGTGTCTCCATTTTACAAGCAAAAAAAAAAAACACTGAGGCGCAGAGAGTTGAAGTCATTTGCCCAAGCTCGCTTAGCTAGTAAGGAGACCCCGGGATTCAGACTCAGGTGACAGGAGAAAGTATATGATGTACACCCTGATAACGCCATCCCGGCTCACTTGAATTCGCCATCTTGTTGGGGAGAGCAGAGACTCTGAATGTTGGAAGATGGGGGAAGGGAGATAATGGAAGAGACCAGGGGTTGAAGGGTGCCCAGGCCCTTTTTGTCAACCTCCCCCCACCCTAGAGGGGGCTGGGGACAGATGCTGTTGTCCCCTGGAACCATCACTCACAGATGTGTTGGCAACCCCCACCCCTCCAAACCCACCTTCCTCTCCCCCTTTTTTCTCTTTCTCTGGTTATCGTAATTATTTGGGAATTTACAGAATAATCCGTCACCAAGTCCTCCAGAACAAATTGAATGTCAGGTTTATAAAACAACCTAATAAAGCAGATGGCATTACCCACTGGTAAATCTCTTCCCCATTTCCTGCCCCACCCCCTACCCACTTCAGTGTCTCGGAAAACTGACAGATTATCCATTTACAGGCAGATTAATCCTGAACAGTATAAACATGGGGAGAAAATTACACTTTCTTGTCTCCATAATTGATAAGAAGGACGCATTAATCTATAAAGCCCAGAGGAAAGGCCCATCTGTCTGCCCGGGCAGACGTGGGGGTGTCTGGGAAGGAAGGAGTCCCGTTCATCTCTCTGTCTGTCTGACTTTTTATCAGAAAGCACTTTCCCGGGGGCGGCCCTCCCTCTCCCCGGCCCTGACAGCTGGGCACCTGCAACCGTAGACTCCTTCTATCCCCGTGCACGAGGCAGGCAGGGTTCAAGGTCCAACAGCCCAGGAATCCAGGCCAGGGAGACAGGCTCTGCCATCAGCTTTCTTTTTCTTTCTAGAAGCTCCGACAGAGGCTCTACTAGCCTCTCTCTCTGTGGTGATGCCATAAGTTTGCCTCAGGTGTCCACTCTCCGGCCCTTGAGGGGATTCCAAGAGGCATCTGTTCAATGAGATTTTGATTCAGTTCCCTCGCTATTCTCTACTATTATTTCAAAACTTTTTGCAAATTTACACACTTCCCTCCCTCCCCGCCTTCCTCCTCTTCCGGCACCTTCCCTAGTAGAGGCAGCTGTGAGGCATTAATTGTCTCCTTGAGGCCTGTCAGAGCTGTCAGGAAATGTCACACCGGCCAAATCCTCTCTGCAGAGGGATGTGGGTGGCGAGAGGGTTTCTGAGGAGACTCTGCTCCAGAAACAACCATCCCCCTCCCCGCTTAGAGACATACGGTGACTTGGACGACAAACACCCCCCATCCTCACCCCTCCAGCCTAATCTGAGGAATTTGGGGCAGGCCGCTCTGCCCCTGTGCCTGTGATGTCTCGACGTGGGGATGGAAGAAGCACAGCAGGTGGGTGCATTTGTCTAGAGTGGGCGAGACAGTGCCGTGGACCGAACTGTCGTCACCCGGGGCCGCTTCCCTCTGTTGGCGATTTGTGCTCCCAGCAAGTGCTCCAGTCTTTGTCTTTGAACTCCAAGCTCTCTGCACAAATGACACATGCTGCTCCTGGGGGCGGTTCGAGGATGCCTGTAGCCAGAGTCTCCCAAACTGTGTCCCCGGGAGCACCAGTGGCTGCTCGGCTGTTCTCTGAGCTCCATAGTTGCATACATTTGAAGATGCTGGGTCAACCAAGTTAGTGTCATTTCCTGTTTTCCTTTTTTTTTTTTTTTTTTTAATTGCCCTTCTCTTCTCTACTCTGAATTTTCTCTGGTTCTCTCTGTTTTTTTCTTCTTGCCCTCTGTATTATGAAGCCTTAATTGTGGGTCTGATGCAAGCCCAGTGAAATTGTAAATACTAACTCATTTTTGTTTCATGCTTTCCTTTTTAAAATAAATCATTAAATTCTACATATATATATATTTTAAATTGACAATTACAATTTTAAAGAAGAAAAAACTAAATGGCTCTGACCCTAAGATCCTGAAAGCTTAGAGGTAATATTATTCCATTTTCACTTACTAATTTTAATAAAAATCACTGCAACATGAATTGTAAAATAATGATATGTAAATTATCTGGAGAAACCAACAAAGCACTTAATTTTAGCCCCTTAAATATAGTAATTAATGCTGGATAAACTTCTAAGGTTTGGAGGGTTAGTTTTAATTGGTATAAGTTTGGGCGAGAAAATGATTTTTTTTTTCACTTATTCTGTTTCTAAGAGTCAAACTGCTTCAACCAATTAACTTGTTACTATCTAAAAAGGCAGCTTTTTTAATAGGAAAAACTGAGTTTCTTTGTTCTGCCACTGTATTTTCATAAAGTGACAAACCAGAATTAGTCCCCACATGCTGTCCAAAGCACAGCGGTGTTTCCGGTTTTTTGTTTTTGTTTTGTTTTGTTTGCTTGTTTTAATTTGTGAAGCCCCTTGTTAGACTTCCTCAGAAGATACAGGGAAAGGGAGAAATGCTATTTGTACCCTTGAAAGGCAGGACAGAGTGAGAAACCATGTCCCTCCTGGAGATTTTGTTAAGAATTTCACAAAACAGGGACACTTGGGTGGCTCAGGTGGTTAAACCTCTGGCCTCAGCTCAGGTCATGATCTCACCGTTCATGGGTTCGAGCCCCGCGTCGGGCTCCATGCCGACAGCTAAGAGCCTGGCACCTGCTTCAGATTCTGTGTCTCTCTCTCTTTCTGACCCTTCCCTGCTCACGCTCTGCCTCTCTCTCTCTCTCAAAAATAAATAAACATTAAAAAAGAAGAGTTTCACAAAACAAAGCCAGATGGTTATTTCAAAAAAGAAAGAAAGAAAGAAAGAACATTTTTAAAAGGTAATGTGAAGTTGAAGAGTCCTGGAGAATGAAGAGCTGAGGTCTGTTTGGTCACACAACACGGTGTTGCTCACTCCCACACCGCCTCTCCCACACTCTGCATGCCTGCTCACACCCATTCCCGGGCATCTCTTTCCCTTCATCAACTTGGTAGAACTGACTGCTTCTCTTCTGGCCCCTCACTGTATCTGCTTCAGGCTCCCATTTATCTTACTGAATTTTTATTGTATTTCACGTTGACAGATTCAAGACTCAAGAAGCTTAATGAACCCCAAGCAGGATAAAATTAAAGAAAACCACACGTAGACCCATCATAATCGAATTGGTGAAAATTAAGGTGAAGAAACGCCTTTGAAAGCAGCTAGAGGAAAAACTACACTTTACCTACAAAGGAACAAGAATTCTAATGCCAGGAAATTTTTCATTGGAACCCCGAAGGTCAGAAGACAGTGGAACATCATTTTTAAAGTGCTGAAAGAAAAGCACCATCAACCCAGAATTCTATAGCCAGCAAAAATATCCTCCAGGTATGAAGTCAAAATGAAGCTATTTTCACATGAAGGAAAACTAAGACAGTTTGTCACAAGAATACCTGTGTCGTAAGAATTGTTAAAGGAAATTCATCATGTTGAAGGAGAATGATAACAAAAGGCAGCTGGGTCTTGAGGAATGAAGGAAGAAAACCAGAAAGGAACAGAAACAAATAACTGGGTAAGTATAAGAGACCATTTTTTTTCCTTTTAAGTTTTTTTTTTTTTTAATTTTTTTTTCAACATTTATTTATTTTTGGGACAGAGAGAGACAGAGCATGAACGGGGGAGGGGCAGAGAGAGAGGGAGACACAGAATTGGAAACAGGCTCCAGGCTCTGAGCCATCAGCCCAGAGCCCGACGCGGGGCTCGAACTCACGGACCGCGAGATCGTGACCTGGCTGAAGTCGGACGCTTAACCGACTGCGCCACCCAGGCACCCCTCCTTTTAAGTTTTTTAAAACACATGTCATCACCAAAAGCAAAGATTACATGATGATATGATACAAATGACAATGATAACATACAGATCAGTTGAGGGGAATAATAAGAGAGTCTATATGATTGCAAAACTTCTACATTTTACTCATATATGAAAGTATATATATTTGTAATCTCTAGAGAAAAAAGTACAAAATAATACAAAGAGATGTAGCCAACATGCCAATGGCAAATTAAAATAAAATGCTAGAGATGCCTGGGTGGCTCAGTTGGTTAAGCATCCAACTCTTGACTGTTGATTTCGGCTCATGTCATGATCTCATCACGGTGGTGAGATCAAGCCCCACATCAGGCTCTACACTGGACGTGGGACCTGCTTGAGATTCTCTCCCTCCCTCTGCTTTTTCCTCTCCCTCAATTGCACTCTCTCACGTTCCCCCCCCCTCTCTCTCTGTAAAAAAATAATACATACAGGGGCGCCTGGGGGGCTTAGTCAGTTGAGCATCTGACTTCAACTCAGGTCATGATCTTGCACTCACGGGTTCGAGCCCCGCATCCGTGCTGACAGCTCAGAGCCCGGAGCCTGCTTCGGATTCTGTGTCTCCCTCTCTCTCTCTGCCCCTCCCGTGCTCGTACTCTGTCTCTCTTTCTCTCTCAAAATAAATAGACCTAATAAAAAATTTAAAAAAAATAATACATACATAAATAAATAGGTAAGTAAACTGATAAACAAACTAAAATAGAATGCTAAAAATTATTTAAATAATCCCAAGGAAAACTAGAAAAGGAGGATAAAGTTACAAAAATAAAGGGGAAAACAGAAAACAGATGGTAAAATGGTAGAAGTAAAAGCCAGCAATATTAATAATTACATTAATTGCTAATGGTCTAAACCCTTCAATTAAAAGGCAGAAATGGATACAAAGGCAAGTCCCTACGCTACACTGCCTTCAGGTGACAAATTGTACCTACGAAGATACAGCTGGCTATAAAGTGAATAGATGTCATGCAAATAGTAAGCATAAGAAGGGTAGAATGGCCATGTGAAGACCAGATAAAATAGGCTTCAAGATAAAGAGTATCCCTAGAAATAAAGATGGACATTTCATAATGACAAAAAGGACAATTCATTAGGAAGGTATAATAATTGCAAGCTTATATGAACATAATAACAGAGCCATTTCAATCTTAGGAATGAAAACTATAAACAGGAATGAGCTTTGATACACAACATGAATGAATCTCAAATCATATTTAAAAAAATTTTTAATGTTTATTATTTTTGAGAGAGCGACAGAGTGCGAGCAGGGGAGGGGCAGAGAGGGAGGAAGACACAGAATCCGAAGCAGGCTCCGGGCCCTGAGCCGTCCGCACGGAGCCCGACTCGGGGCTCGAACTCACGGGCCGTGAGATCACGACCCAAACCGAAGTCAGATGCTTAACCGACTGAGCCACCCAGGCGTCCCTCAAATCATGTTTAATGAAAGAATCAAAGAAAAATACATATCCTACCTATCCTCCTATTTCTACAAAATTTCAGAAAATGTACTCTATTGTATAATGACAGAAAAAAGATCAGTGGTTTCATGGAGATAGAGGTACAGAAGACATGGATGTTGAAGAGTACAAAGAAACTTTCAGGAATAATGGAAATGTTATCTTTTTGGTAGTGATGGTTTTGTTTGAATGTACACTTGTCAAAACGGAACAACTTGCATACTTTAAGTATATGCGGCTAGTGTACCTCAGTTATATTGCAATAAATTTGAGGAAAAATGAATGCTTAAAAAAAATCAGGTATTCAGGGGTGCCTGGGTGGCTCAGTCGGTTAAGCGTCCGACTTCCAGCTCAGGTCATGATCTCACAGTTCGTGAGTTCAAGCCCCACGTCGGGCTCTGTGCTGACAACACAGAGCCTGAAGCCCACTTCGAGTTCTGTGTCTCTCCCTCTCTCTCTGCCCCTCCCCTGCCCCTGCTCACTCTGTCTCAAAAATAAACATTAAAAAAAAATCAGATATTCACACCTCTAATTCCAATCTACTACTACAGGAGGATTCTTCCTCTCCTTTTCCCCTTCCTTATGTGTCTCTCATTCTTGCACGGTGATTCTCTCCGACAGGTTTTCAACCGCCCTGGTTCTCAGGAACATCAATATATTTACTCATTTGCTCATTGTCATAATACGTACAAAATAGTTTTGGAATAGCCATGCCCATACCACCATCAAAACAATACTGTTGGATAAAGTTCAAAATTTCTTTGCCGCTCTTATTTTTAGAGAATGTCTCACTGAGAATGTACAGCCCAAATACCATGCCCAAAAGTTAATTGGGTTGAATTTTTTCCCTTCTGTATAGTTAGTTACCTTATCAGTTTAAGATACACGTAGGTTCATTTGTTTCTGTTTGCATTCAACTTCAGGGTCGTTCCTCCGTGTTCCATGATTTAATGTTATTTTGTGTGTAGTAAAATATTTACATGGGTCAAAAATCCAAACCATACGGACAGTACATTTGGAGAAGTTTCTGTCCTTCCCTCAGCACTTACTCCTTGCTTTGAATCCCTCCCTGCAGGTAACCAATTTCACCGGAGTTATCCTTCTTATGTTTCTTTTACAAAAATGGGCATGTATTCTTATTACACTTTCCTTCTTACAAAAATATAGCACACTATCCAAGTCTTTTACATAAAAATATCCTGGGAATCACTTCACATCTACATCAACGTATAAAGATATTTTTCGGTTTTACAGCTGCGTGTTATGCCAAGGTATAGACATACAATGACATTCTACCAATCTGTTCTGCATGTACATACACAGATTGTCCCCAATAATCTGTTATTATAAATAATGCGGCAATGAATAACCTTGTGCGCCTCTTGTTTCCTATTTTTTGGAGCTGGAGCTTCAGCGTGAATAAATGTAAATAGGATTAGTGGGTCAAGGTTAAATGCATATGTAGTTGTGTCAGATACTGTCAAATCCCTTTTGTGGGGTTGTACCATTTTGCATTCCTGCCAGTGGTAACTTTGAGTGCCTGTCTTCCCATACCCTTGTCAACAGAATGTTTTATGGCGCTTTTGAAATGTTCCTATCTTGGAGTTGCAGGATGGCGTCGATGTAGTTTTAATTTACATTTTTCATTTTCTAAGGATCTTTTAATATATTTAAGGATCCTTCCCCGTCTCCTCCTCACCCCCCAACCCCTTCCCTCTTTCTTTGGTTTAGCCTGGACTTTTTCTCCTTGATGTTTGTGAGTTGTTTACATAATAAGATATTAGCTCTGCATCTGTGCTATGCATTGCACATATCTTCCCAGTATGTAATGTGTTTTCGGCTTTGTTTATGGTGATTTGGGCCATGTAAAAGGTTTTCTTATGCATTTGAATTATCTTCCGTTGATTTTGAATTTTGAGTCCTCGTGAGAAAGCCTTTGCCCAATCCAAAATTATAAGGCAATTCACCTGTTTTCCTCTAATACTTGTGCAGTTTCATTGATACATCAAATATGACTGATCCATTTTCAGAGTGTGGGGTATGATTCCAATTTTATCTTCTCCAAATGGTTATCCAGTCGCCCCAACATCCTTTATTTAAAATTCCACCTTTTTCTAGCGATTGGAGATGCCACCTTTATCATATAATTAATTGCCTTTTGCACTCAGGCCCGTTTCTGTATTTTTTCTGCCATGTTATTTCGTATTCTCCATTTACTCTATGTTTGTTTTTTAAAAATTTTTTCTTCTCTTATGGTTTCCATTACAGAGACACATTTTCTTATGCTTATTTAAAAGCTGTATCTTCTATTTTATTATTATGGTGGTTGTCTTCAATTTAAAATCTGCACTTATGTTTATGTGCCTGCTAATATCTAAAACCTTAGTTTTGAGGGTTATAAATATGGGTTTTCTTTTCTAATCTTCTGTTGATACTTGCTGTTTTAGACAAGCTTTACTAAGGAATTTGATCATTCTTCCATCAACTTTCTCTTGCAATACTTTCCTGGATTTATTTCTCTTTTTATTTGAGTGCGCTTTCAAGAGAGTTATCAAAATGGGATTTTGTGTGGCAAACCTCCTATGCCTGAAAATATCTTGGTGGCACTCGTGCACATAAATGACAATGTGGCTATATATAAAATCCTAGGTACAATGTTCTTTTAATACTTTGGAAAAAGTTCTCTGTGTGTTCCTATATCCAATGTACTGTTAAGAAATCTGATAAAATTTGAGTCTTTAACTTATTTTTAGACGACTTGTTTTTCTTTTTGGAAACCTAGACTTTTTTGTGTGTGTCTTTGATTTCTTAATTTCACCAAAATGTGTCTAGGCGTGCGTGTTTCTTTATTATCCTATTGGGACTCTATAACGCTTTCCAGTCTGTGGTCTTTCATCTTAAAAAAAAATTTTTTTTTACATTTATTTATTTTTGAGAGACAGAGCACAAGCAGGGGAGGGGCAGGGAGAGAGGGAGACACAGAATCCAAAGCAGCCTCCAGGCTCTAGGCTGTTAGCACAGAGCCCGACGCGGGCCTCGAATCCACAAACTGCGAGATCATGACCTGAGCCCAAGTTGGACGTTCAACCGACTGAGCCACCCAGGTGCCCCTCATCTTTTACTCTTATTTCTTCAAATATCTCCTCCCCTCTTTTTTCCCCTACTTTCTTGAAATTCCGTTATCTGGATGTTAGTACTTCTGTGTGCTTACAACTTGTCTTAGAGTTACTTTAAAATTTGCTA